GACTCGAGGTCCAAGCAGGGTGGTACTACACATACAAAAAAATAATTGTGAAACGAAACAATAAAGGGCGAAGAAGGTTGTTTGGTAGGTTAGTTCGTTCATCACATGTATTAGTAAGACAGTTCCATTCACATATGGTTCTTGGAAAGTACGAATACTTCAATGGTCTGTGCGAGCAAAATATGGGATCAAGGCCTTTGGGTGGTGGTGTCGAGTGGGCCGGCTATTAAGGGGTGTCAAATACGGGGATGGGTCTAGAGCTATTTTTTGTTCAAAAGTTGATCAAGGAATTCTAATCTAGCTTTTTGTCTTCGCATCTGCAGTAAGGGAATGTTGTTGGCTAGCATTAAATCTGAGGGTGAGGGTGAGTGTAACTAGGAGTACTTGTTGAATATAAATCTAACAGCTTTTCTTTGAATACGCTCAAGAGTGTATATATTACGTTTTGTATAAGCATCCCATACTATGCTACTGTACACTAGTTTTGGCCGCACAAGGGCTGTGTAACAAAGTAGTTTAACATTTGGGGGAGCAATTTGAAGTTTATGTTTAAGAAGACACAATTCACGAAAGGCAGATGGACAAACATTATCAATATGAAGATTCCAAGATACGTTGGAAGCGAGTGTCACACCAAGGTGTTTGTAGGAGTTTACTTGTTGCAGTGGTGAAGACCCTAATATGTATGTATACAATTGTGGATTTTTCGGCGAGTCACTGGAAGGCACATACATTCGTTCGCGTTGAGACACATTCCCCATTTGTTGCACCATTCATATATATTGCAAAGACTAGTGCTCAGATCGTTGAAATTGTTAGTGGAACGTATTTCTTAGAACAAAACACATCATCTGCAAACAATGCCTATTTCCACAATAGGGTGAATAACATCAACAATATCATTATATACAATAGAAAAAGCAAAGGGCCTAACACACTGCCCTTGTGGTACGCTCGATGTGACCGGAAGACAGTCCGAATAATGGCCCCCTACATTAACGTACTGTTCGCGATTATTCAAATACGCAGAAATCCAACAAACGAATATTTCGGGCATGTCTATTGTTCTAAGTTTGGAAATGAGTTTACTATGGGGAACTTTATCGAAGGCTTTGCAGAAATCTAACAAGAGCATATCTGTCCTACCGTGTCTATCGATGTTTAATGCAAGAGAGTGAAACAGTGTGACAAGTTGAGTTACGGTGGATAATCCTTTTCGAAAACCATGTTGATACATGGTTAATATAGAGCGTTCTTCAATACACTTGTTTATACTAGTAGCACAGTCCCTTAAGACTCTGCTAGTAGCTATGATGTGTTCAATAATTTTACAACATTGTGAAGTTAGTGAGATTGGACGGTAATTTCCTAGTGCTAAGCGGTCCCCCTTTTTCAAGATGGGTACAACGCGGGCTGTCCTCCAGTCACTAGGCAGCTGGGAAGTCAACAAAGAACAGCGAGAAATAATAACCAAAAACTTTGCTAGAGGTAAAGCATATCGTCGTAGAAATACGTTTGGTATGTTATCAGGACCACAGGATTTATTTATTTATTAGAATACCCTCAGGGCCCGTAGGGCATTACAGAGGGGGTGGGTACAACATTTTATAACACACAAAGGAATAAGGACAAGAAAAAAGACAAAGAAAAGAAACAAGTGTCAGATGCGCAAATCACGAAGGTAACATAAATCAACTAAAAATGTATGAGTAAGAATTCAAGCACATACAAGACAAAGATAATGGAAACTGCGTATGGTTACAAACATTGCTGAGAAATTGCAGTCTTGAATAACAAAGGGTCTGTTATTGTTACAACGGAAGAGGGAAGGTGGTTCCAATCGGCGGCTGTTTTCGGTAAGAAGGCTGCTGAAAAGAATTTGGTGTGGCAAAACGGAATGGCAACCTTATGCTGGTGATCAATGCGCTATGAGTGATATGACGGTTGTGAAATGAGGTCTCGCTTCATTGATGGATTGTGAAAAAATATCTTATGAAAAAAATGCAGTCGCACCAGTTTCCTCCGGATAGTTAAATTGGGCAGGTCAAGGTTAGATTTAATTTCTGATATGCTAGCAGTACGGGAATAATTAGAACAAATGAACCGAGCTGAGCGGTTCTGAACAGATTCTAACGCGTTGATTAAATTTTGCTGCACGAGATCCCATATAGCGGACGCGTAAGGATGCCTTAGTTTTTAAATTTAGCAACATAGACACCCCGCCTGGATAAGAAATAAACAGTGCTTCAGCATAAGGAAAGGCTGTAGCATTAGATATACAGTTGAAATCAGAAGTGTTGAACACACTCTGGAAATATTGATTAAAATGCCAGGCAATGTCTCTCTGATCGGTGACGTTGGCTCCATCAATTCATATTTGAGATACAGGTCTTTTCTTTGCACTGATAAAACTCCAGAAATTACAGGGGTCATTTGCAATAAAGTTAGGTAATGAGGTTTTAAAGTATACTCCCTAGAGCTGCGGACAGTTTGAGCGAGACTGTTGTGTGCATCATGTATCATATCAGCTGTTGCCCGCCTTTTTTTCAGGTCGCTTAACTTTGCGCTTCATATGAATGATGTTGTAATTTATCCATAGGTGTTTGTTTGTTAACTTTTTTGTGCTTGGAAGGCACAAAATTATCGAAACAAAAATGACACATTTGTTTGAATTGTGTCCAAAGCACGCTAACATTTACGTCATCAAAATCTTTAAGACATGTTTCTAGGTGTTCAATTATGTCTGCATCATTAGCACTGGAAAAGTATTTAAATCAGCGAAATACCGGGTTTTTATGGCCAGTTAGTGGAACAAGAGGAAAGGAAGTGAAGACGTAGCTATGATCAGAAAGACCTTGTTCCTACCTCTACTGTATATTCGGAGAAATTGCGGTTCAGAAACACAAGATCTAATAGTGAGGTGGAATCCCTCTGTACGCACGTAGGTACCTGAACTATCTGCAATAAGTAATGTATAAGCACTGACTGTCAATCACTATGTTAACATGTTTTGAAGTGTTAATGCCAGCATCAAGGCGCTCCCAGTCAACTCCAGGTAGGTTCAGGTCACCAATCAGTAAGACCTTTTTACTCCCAAATTTGGCCGTATAATTTTTCAGTGTGCTAAGGTATTCTGGAGTAACGTCTGGGGGTCTGCAAAACCCAATTACAACGAGCCCAGCATGTAGCCCTAATACATAAGCATTCTATGTCAACAAGATCATCCCACAAAACAGCATCGATACACTGTTTTACCAATATAGCCACCCCTCCTCCCCTAGTGCGTCTGTCTTTACGAAAAACTGTATAGGATGGGGAGAAGACGTCGCCATTAGGCAAATGCTCGTGTAGCCAAGTCTCGGTAACGACCGTAATATGTGGATCATGTTGCAGCAGAAGCACTTCGAACGCTTCAGTTTCATTCACAATGCTTCTGGTATTAATATCTAGTAGCCTTAACTGTTTGTTACATAGTGCTGAAATAGGTCACGAGTGCGGCTTGGAAGATTGACGGTCTCCTGCTTTTACTCGCGTGTTTTGCAATTCATCCCAATAAAATGTATCTTTATCTACTATAAGCCGGTCGTGTACTAAGAATACTTTTTTTCCTTGTCGCTTTTCGTTCTTAGCACTGTCCCACAGCATTTTTCGTTTCTTCAGTTTCAACTGCAAATAATCATTCTGAATAGATACCGTCGATCCTTTCAGTTTTTTGGCATTTTCTAATATTACTTTTTTTTCATTAAAAGTTTGAACGTAAAGGATGACAGGCCTTTTACCAGTTTGTTTTCCTAGTCGGTGTATGCGTCCAATGGAATCACATTTCACACCAAGCTTTTCTGTGAATAATTCCTTAACCACTTTTTCCCTCAGGGTTGCATCAGTTTCATTAGGACACTCGGGAATACCGTGAATAATCAAATTCGACCGTCTGGAACGGTCTTCGAGGTGGGTAAGCTTTTTGTTTTGAAAGTTTACAATATGTTCCAGTGATTGTAACGTATTTCCCACCTTTTCACTGGGAATGCGGCGTTCTTGGCAATCCTTTTGTGCCGTAATGAAATCATGTACCATAATTTTCAATTCAATAAACTGTTTCTTTAGTTTAAGCACTTTATCGTGAATTTTCGCTTGGCCGTTGAGCACTTCATATAGTTCTTTCTGGGTGGGGCCAGGGTTTGTTTCCACGTCACCGCATAAAATCAACAGACAAGCACGAAAACATTCATATGCTATATTCCGACAACGCCGAGGGCACGGCAAGACCAAAATACAGCGATAATCACTACGAAACGAACCCACGTTGGAACTAACCTGCATGAGGCAGAACATAGACGTAAGTGCCATGGTCGCGCCGGGTCCGCCATGCCCACGAGAAAACGAGAAAAAATATCTCCGGTTGACTGCGCTGCACATGTTTAGAAGAAATGGCTCTGAAAGAATTAAAAAGATGAAAAGTCTATAATTTCGGTGGAAAATAATTCTCTTTGCATCGAATGTAACACATGACGAACGACTCCCTTAACATTCTAAATGTCGAAGGAAATGTGGCTTTCCGTGAAAAACAAATAACGCACAGCGTCGTCAGCATCGTGGGGAAACAGTGATAGCGAAAAGCAAATATGTGTTCAAAAACTGGCCGTGTAGCAAACAACAATCCTTCCAATCACTTCCTGAACATAGTGTTGGAGTTAAGAAAGAAATTTTAAAACCCGGTGGGAAGGGGTACCTTACCGTAATCGTGAGTCTCTTCTTTGTTGTAACGTGTATCGTGTTACGTGTACATGTTACGTAGCCAGCATCGATCCTTTCTATTAAATGATACGCCTGATAGCAATCATTCGATGCTTCGCTAGAGATAATGCGAGGACGTTGAGCTCGCCACTGATAGTGCGGAAAGGAGGTGTGCGAGAAACGCTCAACAAAAACACTTCAGAGATAGCTTCCTTTAAATAATGGGTATCCCTGAGCCCCAGCTGTGAAGGTTGCCTTGTGCAGCTGTTTCTTTAGTGTCCGACGGTGCATCGCACCAATAACTCTGTTTGAGCGCCACGTTGCGCACCAGTGTATAATAGTGTGAATTTGGCTAGCCATTTGATAAAAGCGGGATTTTGCGCACTCAAAAAGTTAGTGGGAAAGAGCTTTTCTAAGTGCAAGAGGTAAGTTCTGCATCGTTCTTTCTGTTTTTTTACAGAAAAGCAGCATTTACGGTAGAGATTTACTGTGTGTCGCAGGTAGAAAGTTAGCGTCATGAACTGGTGCGCGCTTATTATGTGCCCAAGTACACAAATGCTGAACAGGAGATGCTGTAAGGTGCGGCTCCTAATCAGCATTCACCATCCGTGTGCAGTGCTGTGAGTATAGCGTAACTTGCCGAATTTCTGTAACACAAACGCGAAACTGGAATTTTACAGCAGAGCTGTCATGGTGGAAGTTTGCCGCTATAGGAGATGGGAAGTTATGGCCAATAATAACGAGCATGCGCTTTCTTCGTCCCCTTCTTTCTCTAAGCATGAAGGGTGAGCAAAAAAACGCAAAGAGCGGAAGAGAATGAAAGGCAAAGATGCTGGTAATACTCGTTAGAGAGCACACAAGGAATGCCAGAATATGCGATTAATGGGAAAGCAATTCTGAAACCCTACTGTACGCAAGTAAAAAAAAATGCCATTGAATCAGAACTTCATTAGTACGAAGAAACAAAGGTGTTACGTATAAGGTGTATCTGCGGGCCCAGCTTTCGTTACTAAATGAAATGAGTTATATGAAATAGTTAAATGGGTTTGTAACATTAAGTCATTACTACTTGGTATGACTTGGAGGGAGTGATGTCGGTTACATACGGTCTATTACGTGACTTGGTTAGGACAGAGATAGACCCCCTTGCTAAAGTAGGGCGGCTGCACTGTTTCTTAAATTTAGGCAGCGAAATATATCAGTAATAACAAAAAATGACTGTTCAACACAAAAGGCTGTTTCTTTCTTTGGCGACAACCACGAGGTGCTCAGTGAACCGTTATGTAGCAATGTTTGTTTCATTACTCGGGAGCCGTGAGTTTCATAATCAAACAAAGCCACTGCATCATCCGTCTATTATTATTGTTTTGTTTCTTTTTTTTCACCATGGGAAGCCAGCACATAGTATCCGGCATATGCTTATTCATTTCATCTCTCATGTGCGTCACTAACCGGAAACGGGGTTCTTTCACCTTCAAGCTAAAAGCATGAAAAAGTTGTTTCGCGAGCATATGTAAGCAAAAGTTTTTCCACTGATCATTTTTTTTCCCTGTGTAGCGTTCATATTGATAACGTTTGCCTTTGCATTTTGAACAGCTTGTTCCTCTTTCATGCCCGGCATGTAATGGCTCATGCTATAATTAAACCACGTGTCGGCTGCTGCAGCTACTAAAACAGCATGCTTGTTACAGCCAATGGAGACAGCAGCGATGACTGTGGAAGTTAGACCACGCCCTGGCGGACCGGTGTACCTCGACGTCGATGGCTTGCGAATCAACAAGCGCTTCTCGCCGACGGTGGTGCGTGGTGCTGTGCGTTACCAAGCCACTGCGAGTGATACCTTTCTGCTGTCGTACCCAAAGTGTGGGACTCACTGGGCGCAGCAGATAGCCTTTCTGATCAGTCATCGAGGCGTTCCACCGTCCAATGCCCTGGAACTTCACATGTACGCACCTTCGCTCGAGAAGTTTGGCGCCGAGACACTGGCAGAACTTCCCGACAGAGGCCTTATTCGCTCGCACTTGCCCTACGACCTCGTGCCGAAGCATCCTCAAGCAAAGTACATTTTCGTGTGCAGAAACCCAAAGGACGTCTGCGTATCATTCTTCTACCACACGAAATCACTGCCGGAGTGCGGCTTCGTAGACGGCAAGTTCGAAGACTTCTTCGAGATTTTTATGGAAGGTAAAACCGATTTCGGTGACTACTTTGAGCACGTACTGCCGTGGTACCGACGCCGTGATGATGATAATGTACTGTTCCTAAACTATGAGAACATGAAGAGTGACCCTAGAAGACATGTCCTCGAGATGGCTGCCTTTTTGGACAAGGATCGTTACGACGAGCTTTTGCGGAAGGAAAGCATGTTGGCTGATGTTCTGAAGTACAGTAGTTCGGAGTGCATGAAAATGGAAGCCTCGAACGGTCATGCTGCACAATCTAGAAAATGTACTTCAAAGGCCACTGTACCGGAGATTATGCGCGTTTTGTTTGAAACACCCGGTTCGATTAGAGAGGTCAGTAACGTAGTACGTTTCGCACGCACCGGTGGCTGGAAGGAGCACTTCACATCAGAGATGAACGAAAGGATGGAAAAGAAGATTCTCGAAAAGTTTGCACAAACTGATCTTATCTCCCTGTGGAGGCAATACGGGATTATCTCGTGAGTTTAGACCTCTCGGTCCATTCTTCATTTTGTCAAGTACCCAAACAACGTCATTCTTGTTCAAATTTCAGCGAGATCGCGTTCTTCATTGTTTTATCTATGTTACATCGTTGAAAAGCGTATATATTTGAATCGCTTTCCAGGATTCGCAATGTTCATTTTGAAAGCTTTACGGCAGTCTTTGAGGTTCTTATTTCTTCAATAGCTTGTTTGTTTTTGCTTCATTCCTGCGCATGTTTTGTAAATAAAAGCAAAACTATCTGTTCCTCTTGCTTCCTGGGCTGGCTTTAATGTGTGCGTGTCAGTTTCACATGATGTTTAAAAAATTACAGATCATGCTCGGAGGCATTGAAAAAAGTTTTTTTTCCTGGCCCAAGAGTTTCAGTCGGAAGCAATAGGTAATTGGGGAAATCGAAAGTTACGTGCTCACTTGAGAGTATCAGTACACAGCGCTGTGTGTGTGTGTGTGTGTGTGTGTGTGTCTTTTCTAAAAGTTCCGTCTTTTTTGCGCTGATAAATCAGTCTAAATAATCATGAATCAACTCGCCCAAGCAACAGTTCTATATAAGTACACAATTACCGCTTTAAACCATGAAACCCTATCCAATCCGCACGTTGAATGAAAACAACTTCGGATGGTGACAGATTGCAGGTCCCGCACAAGCGCTTCTAAAGGACCTTGCACGCCTTCATTCTTACTTGAAACTATTTACAGTAAAATACCACGTGATCAAAAATCCTTGAAACGAACGATTCAGTCGTGCGAACTTTTGAGATTCCTTGCCGAATTACCATCGGACCCCATTATAACGCATTTTGGTTTAACAAAACTAGTGGGAAGCACACTTCAGTTTACGAACATGTTGTGCGTCATCATCCAATCGAATTTTCTCAAAGACTAAGTACTGACAGAGCGTTGCGTTTTCGAGACTATGTTACCTGCGACCCTGCCATTGAGACATGCGCCACACTATCTGCGAAAAGATAGTAAGCAGCGAACCTTCTAGCCAGGAAAGAAGAAGAGTGTAAAAAAAGTAACCCTTGTAAAAGAAGCAGAAAGAGTTCCGGCAAAGAAAACACCAACGTACTTGAAAAACGTGCAGTGTTTCTCTGCCCAGTAGAGTGCGTTACCCAAGAAGATTTATGAGAGCGTGGACACATTCACATAATTCAAGACCTCGACAGTCGTAAGTATGCAAGTGCCGCAAAGTATTACTATATTTTTCGAAACATGCTAAATAACCAGAAATATACATTCGTATAAGCAACCTCGCAAATAGAACAGTTGCAGTTTAAACTAAAGAAATGTAAAATTTATTGCCTTGTTTTTTCGGTGGACACAATACTAATGATAATTATTAGACAACAATGCAAACCACAGTATACACCAGAATACAGTGAGTTCAGTGCGCGCCACCGGTTTTAAAAAGTGCGTCGCGCCATCGGTCACAAGAGCGGTGAAGAAACACCGTGAATGGCTATGCTTTCTAGCCGACGCTCGGCAGATCACTCGTGAAACTTCCATATCTCATGTGTGACTGTTCGAATCTTTCGCGCTTTGCCTCTCCTGAAAATTCGTGCTTTCTTTTGCGTGCGTGAAACTTCTAGACCATCCTCGACGGTCCTGAATGTCTACAACACGTGCATCGCAGACTGCACGCATAACTCGTTCAGCTGCGTACTATCGTGATGGAAAGAAACTTGAACAGCTGAAAGTGTGCCCTGGACTGTCGCAAAACCGTAGCACTAGAATCCCGCTCCGGCTTGCCCTCATGCATGGCATGTGCTTATAATTCGTCAGTCAAGCCTCGCTTTGAGAACACACACGCAGTGCAAAATGCCAGCCAGATAAAGAGAAAAACAGCTTCAAATAAGTCCAAAGATACTAACCGGGAACGACCCGCTGGCGCCCTCGGTTGTCCGCTGGCTGCTTCCAAGTTGGATACGCTAGGTCATGCCTCTACGCTCTTTCACGGGTCCTCTGGGCGGCTGTTGACTGGATATTCAGTGCAGTATTCGTGAAGGCGCCTTCCTAGTCTTGATCGCTGATAAGTGACGTGTCCCGCAACGCCGAACACCGCCACTGCATGACTGCTAGAGTGCTGAAATCTTCACCGCAATCCGAGCGCTGTGGATCGACACACCAGTCAAATAAACTGAGTAAACCTCTCGGGGGATGTCAACCACTCATGGGCATGAACGTGATCGCCTGTGCTCTGAAGTTTCGGGTGTGCAGCCAGAGAAAGATTTTAATGTGCTATGTTGACTATGACCTAGATTCACCTATCGATGGTTAAGACATGTCGCAGTTTGACTGGGTTGAAAGCGAGAATTTCCACTTTCAATTTTTCTTTGCATGGCGATAGTAAGCCATCACGTTTGTACCAAATGTTCGCAGTATGCGTGCATGCGTGAGTTATAAAACCTCCTATGATTGGCATGCGGCCTGCGAAAGAGTATCGCAACTATTTGGTGCCGCACACTATATATACAGGCATACTGCACTCAAATTACTGCTGCATTGCGAAGAAGTGGGCATCCGCCTTGAATAGAGGCAGTAAGTGAGTCAATTTACTCATATGCTTCACAGGACTCGTACTTATAAAGAGCGAAGCTTCATAGGCCTCCACTTCACCGTAATCGCCTTCGTCGCTGTCGTAGCCACTGTCGAAGCAGCCCCGCCACAATACCGCTCCCCACATACGCCTGCTCTACGAAGTGAACCTCACGGTCGACCCAAGAACTTGCAGCGCTGCTGTTCCATCTTGCATAGGGATCCTTCATGTGCAGGCTGCCGTCATTGTTTTTGGTGGCACACACATGAAGGCTTCCTAATCATGCATTATCATTCACGCGTTCGCAAACCACACACGATGTACGAAGAAAGCCATCGCGGTAGAAACAGCCATTGCGTCGCAAGTGGCTACCCTTCGTGAGTCTCAGGTCGCTGCGGCATGTGCGTCACCTCCACCTTCACAAGTCATCCGCGTGTATATGTGCCGGCTCGTGAGTGGAGCTGCGAAACTGTACTGGTTCCCAAAAAATCCGCCATCTCAACGAAGTACATCACCATAGAGGAGCTTGCTCGGAACTGATTGGCAGAACCCGTGAATCATCCGTGGCAGTGCTATACCATCTTATAAAGGCGTAACTTCTTGATACAAGCGTAATTGCTTATGCCCTTACACAAGCTGTAAGTATTTACATGTCAATGCATTTATATACAAAGATTACATTACTGAATAAAAAGTTGTGGGACGCATTTTCTTTTCAAGATGACAATTTTGTGGTTTGTGAGGTATGTGGCGAAGAGATCTCAAAATATAGGTTGCAGTTGAAAGTTGGAGAAAGCAACGTCGATATAGGTCACGAGTCGATATTCTCTTGCTGCCGCTTTCGTGCCACCTCTGCTACGTGGGCTCCCACTGGGGGTCCACCTGGCGACGAGCTTTTTTCGCAGCACAAAGTGTACATGATGCCTTACAAGTGTGTAGTGGGTGCTTCGCTTATTAGCAAAATTACGAATGGCATAGTGGCATTGTGGGTGCTTTCGTTCTTCATGAAAGTTACAACGGGTGTGTATCGGGTACATAGCACAGCTGCACCTCTTGCGTACGCTCCAAGGGACATGCCCCGAGCATAAAAAGCCAAGCGAGAAAGCTCCTAAAACGTTTCCTCGCCCTACTGCCATTATGAAAGCCAGCAGCAAGATCAGATGCATGGTCCTTTTCGTCCCATTTCTAAGAAGCTTCGCTCATTAGTTTTATTTCTATAGGGAACAACAATTATTGTTTCCTGACAATTTCAATGATTCACTAGTGGTGCAATGGAAGTTTGCGCAATCTGAAAACACCCCACATGGTCTATTCCCGCGTCGGGTAGTTACTTCGACAGGCAGTGCTGAGTAATATCTTAGTCTGCGTCGAATCTGAAAACACCCCTTATGGTCTATTCCCGCGTCGGGTAGTTACTTCGACGGACAGTGCTGAATAATATCTTAGTCTGCGTCGAATCTGAAAACACCCCTTATGGTCTATTCCTGCGTCGGGTAGTTACTTCGACAGACAGTGCTGAGTAATATCTTAGTCGGCGTCGAATCTGAAAACACCCACATGGTCTATTCCCGCGTCGGGTAGTTACTTCGACAGACAGTGCTGAGTAATATATTAGTCTGCGTCGAATCTGAAAACACCCCTTATGGTCTATTCCTCTATTCCCGCGTCGGGTAGTTACTTCGAAAGACAGTGCTGAGTAATATCTTAGTCTGCGTCGAATCTCAAAACACCCCACATGGTCTATACCCGCGTCGGGTAGTTACTTCGACAAACAGTTCTTAGTATTATCTTCGTCTGCGTCGATTGTTTTTTGCAGGTAAAGACGTCGCAGTGGTGCCAAGATGTCTTCTTGAAAGCGGGAGTGGTGTGAAAATGCGTTTCCTCCTATTTTGAAGTCCCAGAGAAGTCGCTTTCAATGTTAACTCAGTGAAATATGTGCCCACCTTAGCTTTTATCAGCAAAATGGCGACTAGGTCGCCCTTAGAAGCCTATCTAGGCACCTGGGTGCTAGATAGACCTGCTATGGTCTATAGGAGACGCTATTAGTCGTTATTGTATTGTAAATGAGAACAAAAAAGTTGGACAAAAAGACAAGTTGCCGTGGGGAGGCACCAAACCTGCCAGCTTCGAATAACGCATCCATGCTACGTGACGTCAACAGACGGGACAAAGTGTTCCACACTCGTCGTCGTAGCTATATGCTAGTGGCGCTTACTGACGCTCCCACGTTTATATTTTCATATATATACCCCATAGACTGGTCGCGAGGTGGGAGAGGGGGATAGCCGTCGTTGTATAGATAAGTTAGCAGAACGGTCAACGCATTATTCGAAGCTCACAGGTTCGATCCCATTATTCGAAGGTCGCAGGTCCTGGCGTCAAGGGCAGAAAACTGGGCCATGAATTTGATTTCTTTTTCCTGTATGAAGAATAATTTAACATAACTAGACATGATGATAGGCCAACATGTGAAAAAGTGTTTTTTAGACCGTCGCTGTTAGGCGCTCAATTCGACGTTGACTGGCATCACCATTGGTGGTGTAACCAACGCAGATGAAAAACTGAAATAAAAAAGCATATCTAGAGCCGAATGGCATTTTAACTCGTGCCCAAGTGGCAGCCGAATACTCCTCCACAGAGCCGCGCTGGTACCGGAAGCCAATCTGCTAAACTACATTATACAGGCGTCAAATCACGCAAGTAATCGCTCG